GAATATCCATACTTATCCTTATTTTATCAGAATTAAATCTATTAAAAACACTCATTTTATTCAAAATAAAATTCTTAATCATTATCTTTTAAAACCAGGATAATTAGAATCCAAAACAACCTTCTAGAAGATTAAGATAAATCCTAATGGTTTTAGAAATACAATTAAGATAAATGGACCCTCCACATGATCATTGGGTCGCAGATAAGGCTCAGTTTGGACCCAGTTTAGTATATTGGCCATAACTTCTTCGTTATAACTCGAATTTGGGCTTATAATATATCATTGGAAAGCTCTTTTCAATCCCCGTCCAACTACAAAATTATTGGACCAGGATTATGGACAAAAATAAACTGGTTTTGACGTTTTTCATAAAAAGGACACAAAATAAATGATTTTGGCTAAAAACATTTATAGAAATATTAGAAATGGTCAAGACTAAAGGGAACTTCACGAGACTCTTCAACTCTTCACCTAACTCAATAATCAAAGACGTGAAAGGTAATCATCACTGGGTTTGGTTTTTGGGGAGACACAATCAGGTGTCTATAGTAATATTTCGTTTTTTAGCATTTATATGAGGAGAGAGATAAGGTGGATTTTTTTTAACCTGATATTAGTTATCGGGGAGGGGGGTGTAGGTGTTAGTACCTACACTTGGGTGTAGGCCAGGTTTAAACAATTAGTTTTTATAGGGTTTTGGACTAGATTGGATTAAAGATCGGAAAACTAAAATTCTCAACCCGGAGACCGGACCTCTGGTTTAGTCAGGTCTGGTCCATTTTTTCAGTTCGGGCCGATTTTTGAACACCCCTACTTCCAACAAATGATTTCGTTTCCAAGTCTTGAATCTAAGGCCTTGGTTAAGATGAAACAACTCCTATACCAACAATCTATAGACAAAAAGTTATGCGGATAGGCCGAGATCAAATTCTTATAGAATTCTTTGTAAATAGAAATCTTTAATTATTCATTTCCTTTATCTCAGGTGACGTAAGAGCTTCTCCAATGATTAAGGATTTTTTGACAATAACCACAAATAATTTTTGGTGTTTTAGTAACCCCTAACTATTTTGTTTTTTGTTCTTTTTTTTTTTTTTTTTTTGAAATTTACCACCTACATTTTGTGAAAATGGTAAACTTCCCACCACTTTGACCAACCCCTCAAAGATGACGTCATGGTGGGGCCCACAAACGGTCTTTCCCTCCTTTTCCTTCCTTCCTCTCTGGATATCCAGTATTTCTTCTTCACCTCCTCTTTAATTTTGAACAAAAACTAAGATTGAATTACTGAAGAAAAAAAAATATATGGTTTCAAAACTCATTGTTCTTGCTTCGAATCTCCAATGCAGTTACGAAGAAAGGTATGTTTGCAAAATTCATGTTCTAGGTGAGTTAATTTAGGGGTTTTTCAATTGAAATAAGGATTTAATCAATTTGGGAATTTGATTATGTTGTCGAAATCAATCAATTGAAATTAGGGTTTGATCAATTTTTGTATAGTTATAAACAAATTAGGCTAACCAAATTGATTACTTAATCCCATAATTCATTCAACTATTGAAAACCCTTAGCTCTAATTTCAATTGAAAACCATAATCGAGCCAAATTGAAAAACCTAAACCCTAAGTTCAATCCAATTGAAACCCCCAAATTAAGTACCCAAACCGTAAACCATTAATTAAATTCCCAAATTGAAAACCCTAGACCGGTAATAAAATTCTCAAATTGAAAACCCTAAACCTTAAATTCAATTGAAAACCCCCAAATTAAGTATCCAATTTAACCTATCAATTAAACGAACATACCTTTCTCCGTAGAATAATTAAAGTGGCAAAGCAAGCTAAGAGAAATGATTATTAAAACCTATTTTATTTTTAGCATTTCAATGTCAAGCTATGTCCCAATTTAGATGTAAAGGGAAGAAATGGGAAGTGAGAATCGAGAGAAGAAAGAAAACAGGGGGAAATAGCAAGGACTACTTCATCTTTAAGGGGTCGGTTAAGTAGGTAGTTGATTTTTTTTTTTTTTGTTTTTTTACTTTCTAAAACACAATTGTTGGCGGTTATTGTCAAAAAGTCTCATATAAATATACAGTAAAAAATGAAGCTAGATCTATGAAATCTATCTAAGTATTTTTGTTTTTTTTTTTTTTTTTTTAATCAAAATACATTTTATATATACATACATAAACCTAGTGTAATATAAATATACATATATCTCCATGTATAGTAGTAACTTAGCTGTAAGGATCAATCACTCGGTTGTTGCGAATACGTATGTACTTAAACTAACTTGTCATTGTTAGGAACTTCGGTGGACTCTACATGAAAGTTCCTCGTTGGACTCCTGATTTCCCATCAATTTAATAATCTCATCTTGGATCAAGATTTGCGACAGTGTATATTCTCTAGATTTTATAAAAATAACGAGTCGTAGCAATTTTCGTCGAACTTTCTGACCAAGTGATTTTGCAAGCAATTATATAATATGGTGCACTGATATAGTTCGAAGGTTCAATGTATAGTACGGAGTATAGGTGAGGGCGGGACCGCGGGAGGATAAGAGAAATCTCACTCCAAATTATGCCTATTGAAAATCAATCCTATAAACTAATACTCTCTCCATTTTTTAATGTTCGACTCACTTTGCATTTGTACGGTCTCCAATAAACATCTTTGACCATGAATATATTCGGCTATGTATAAGTGAAAATTATAAAAAGTTATTATTTGAAAAATTTATAATAAGGGGAATCTAAAAGATCTTATATGTTAATTTATTTATATTGTATAAGTCATTAAATGTGGTCAAAGTTATGTTATTTTGACCCTATGAATAATAAGTGAGTCGAACTTTCAGAAACGCAGGTAGTAAGAGATTGATGTTATTATTCTCCTAACCAAGTACTATTTGATATGTTTATTTTACGATATTACACCTCGGTATATCATATGTTCTTATTACTTGGGTTACCATTTTTGTACATAGATTTTAGTCTTAAAAAAACAATCATGATGTATTAGATTAATTATATTATCCTTTATAACATGTATGGAAAGAAAATACACATTAAAATACCATTAAATTAATTATTAATTAAAATTTACCCTTTAATTGGTTAAACTTATGAATAAAATTGTTAAAATTATCCCTTACATTGACTGTCTTTCAATAAAATTAATGAAAAATGTTAATGCACGCATAATTTCATTCAATAATATATAATCAATTGGAAAAACTATTGATGTGGTGAGTGGTTGTAAAAAGAAAAAAAAAATGTAAATAAAATTAGAGAGATCGTATGTATAGAGGTGGTTGAATGGAAGAAACAAAGAAGTAGGTATGTGTGCAAGAAAATTTTGTGGAAAAAATAAGAGAGAATGAATGGAAAGATGTAAAAATTGTGAGCAAGGAATGGTAAGATAGTAAATAAGGTTCGTAAAAAATTTAATAGAAATAACATTGTAAATAACTTTAAGAAACATATTAATTAAGAATGTGCTATGAATATTAAAAAAAACACAGCCCACATTGTTATACAAATTAGTTTTTCCAAAATTAAAAATCTAATGTCTTTCAAAAAATAAGGCTATTTTCAATTTTGCAACCACTAAAACATATGTGTTTCACTTTTGCTACCACTTTAAAATTTTATTTTATTTTGCTATCACCTAAAAGTACATTTGTTAAAATTTGCTGCCAGTTAACAGAATTTGTTACTATTGTTGTTTGTGGGCCCCACTTCAACCCTGCCTCTCTCTCCCAGCCACCAATCATTGCTCCCCCTCCTCGTCAGCCACCCCTCCCCCATCTCCGTGCCGGCTAACGGAGCCAAACCATCCTCCGGCACCGGCGACCCACGCTGCCCACCTTTCTCCCCTTTCCCCCACCCTCACTGCCCACCTCTCTCCCCTTTCCCACTCTCAGCACCGGAACTTGCTCAATCTTAAGTGAAAACGCAGGAAAACTTGCAACCTGATTTGAGAGCCATTGTTTCCTGTAATTGGAGCAGGAGTATGAGAGAACAATACAACCAAATTCGACCTAACAACCCCTAACAAATCAGAATCATTAAAACAATCAGACAACTCCCAACCATAACCATGAATTGCGCAATCGAGCTCGATAAATGCGAACCCCTTGAAACCGAACCAGAAATCGAACCATCCACCAAATTACAAGCAAAATCAAGGGTCTAAGAAAGTGAAATTAGGAATTCTTTGGGTTTTAGAGTAGTTAATTGAATTGATGTCGGCCATTTTTGGCCGGAAATTCGCTGTAATTTGAAGGTTTTGGGGGTCGAAATGGCGGAGATTGGGGATGAAATTGGGAATTTTGTTCTCACTTGTAGGGTCGCCGGCAGCCGGCGCGGGCATGGGGGAGGGGTGGCTGACGGGGAAGGGGAGCAATGATTGGTGGCTGGGGAAGGAGGAGAGAGAGGCAGGGTTGAAGTGGGGAAGGAGGAGCAGTGGCTGGGTTGTTGGGGTTTCGAAGGGGTCACCGGAGATCGAAAAGGTTTAGGGTGGCCGAAAAGGGTAAGGGAAGGGGGGGTCCGATTTCGGTGGGGGAATGGGGAGGGGGGCCGATTCCGGTGGGGCGAATGGGCCACCGGCAGGGGGAGGGGGGGCAGTTGAGGGTGGCTGGTTTTTTTTTTTTTTTTTAAAAAACATTTTAATTTTTTTTTTTGAATAAACTTAACGGAACCCTAACGGATTCCGTTAAGTGGTAGTGAAATTTAAATAATGTGATTTTAGGTGGTAGTAAAGTAAAAAAAAATTTAAGAGGTAGCAAAATTGAAAACGATGTGTTTTTATGGTATCAAAAGTCAAAATTTCCAAAAATAAATATATAAATAAATAAAATAAAATAAAAATTAAAAATCTAATGTTTTATGTACTCCATATTAAGAGCTAGAAGAACGACATGTACCCGTACGTGTTGAAAGTGGGAGGAGAGCTCTAATCATTTGAGCTATACCTCACTCGTACATGTAATGTGTCTTTCAATAAAAAAATCATAAAAATATTAAGTTTGCCCTTCGTGAAAATTGCACAAAAATTATTATCACCTTTTAGATTTGTCGGCCAGTCCGACCTATCTTGAAAAAAATGAGGGTTTGAGCGAAAATCGGGCTATTTGACAATCCACTATTATGAGACCAAACCTCAACCCAATTTGAAAAACCCTCCTCAACCTAATTTTATCGGTTTTCAACCTCGACTTTTCAGCCTAAGATCTACCCTACACAAACACTTTTTTTTTGTTTTTCAAAAACCCGATCCATGATCACCTCTACTTTAGTACTTTACTCACACGCAAAACAAAAAATAAAGAAAATAAAAAAATAAAATCTCCACTATAAATAGCCCACATTGTACTCATAATCTTCTACCCCTCCCCCAAAGGCCCCAATTTCATCGGAACACATACACTCTATTCCCCCAATCTCTCTTCAAATGGATGATCTCAAATTTGTGATCGAATCATCCGAAGCACAAACACTAGCAAACAAACTCGGCTTAAAATCCGTAGTCCACCTTTTACCATTGATAGCAAAATCAGCTAAAAAGCTTGCTCGTCCACCAATCTCCGGCTTCCCCGTCGCCGCCGTTGGCTTAGCTACGGACGGCCGTATATTCATCGGCGTCAATGTCGAATTTCCAGGATTACCCCTGCATCATTCAATCCACGCTGAACAATGTCTCATCACAAATCTCTCACTTCACCCTCAAACCCATCTCAAAAACGTCGTCGTTTCGGCGTATCCATGTGGGCATTGTCGTCAATTTCTTCAAGAAATTCGTGGTGCCCCAGATATTCAGATCTTTGTTTTGGATAAAAATGATGATCAGGAATCAGAATCTGAACAAATTAATGGATACCCAGATGAAGAATCGGATTGGTTTAGGCCATTATCTTGTTTTTTGCCTAATAGATTTGGTCCACATGATCTGTTGGATAAAACTGTTCCTCTAATTTTGGAAACAATTAATAATAATTTGGTTCTCGATGATGGTAAAATCGTTGAAATGGGTAATCTGTGTAATGTAGTTTCGAGATTTGAGGTGGGAGAATTGGTTTCGGCTGCATTCGAGGCTGCGAATCGGTCTCATGCACCTTACAGTGGTAGTCCATCTGGGGTTGCTTTGGTTGATGTGAATGGAAAATTTTACAAGGGGTGTTACATGGAGTCTGCTGCTTTTAACCCGAGTATCGGCCCTGTGCAAGCTGCCATGATCGCTTTCATAACGGCTGTTGATGGCGGGTTTGGGACTGGCGGATGTGACGTAGGTGCTGATTACGAGAGGATTGTGGGTGCTGTTCTGGTCGAAGTTGAAGGTGCTGTTGTTAGGCAAGAAGAGACTGCAAGATTGTTTTTAAATGCTGTTATTCCAAAGTGTGAATTTCGTGTGTTACGTTGCCAAAAATCAAGCTCTGCTAAGACGGCTAAAGAGTAAAGACAATTGGTGATGGTTCTTCGTTGCTATTGACTTATTGTTACGATCTAAACATCGGAAATTTTTTCATGTAATCGATTATTTGTAATAATTCTGATGATCATTATTGTGTAAAGAAAAAAAAAACAATAATAATGGTAACTTTGTTATTGTCTCTAAAATGGGTAATGTAGTTTAACATTTGATAATCTAATTTTGCCCTTTGATTAGGAGAAAAGGTTGAAAACTTTTATGTGAAACAGCTGTGAGCAAAGTTGTTGGTGATTTTACTTGATCAGAATATCTATTTCGTACTACATATAATACTGTTTCATTTAATAATTTACTCAAATTGATCATGCCAAAAGGAGCAGCGAGCAAGAGAAAAATTTAACTTTTTTTTTTTTGAGAGGTCTATATACTAGTACTACACTAGTAGATGAACATTTAACAATCTAGTTTGATCCAATTATTAGGCTTAAATATTAAAATAACATGAATCACACCTAAAGTGTACTCAATATGAGATAACTTGATTGTGACCTAGCCGGAATTAGACGTGACCCACTCAAAGCGAACACGTAACAACTTTGTTATACTTATGTTGTTTTTAAAAGTTTGGCTCACTCGATATTTCCACGATATACTATACTTATCTTTGCTCTTAAATATTTTCAACTATCTATAAGTGAAATTTATTAAAGTTAAAGTTTTGATAATTTACATTGATAGTAAGTGAATCACGCTTTTAATAACAAATGTACGTCGTAATATTTACATCATAAACTAATTTATATATGATGAACACGACTTAATAAATCCCTTAAAGATTAAATCGTACCAATAAAGACATTATAAGTTTCTTAGTTACCTGAATTAAAAACCTGACCAAATAAACTAGTTAATATCCATGTAACGACACTAGATGATTCATAACAAAGAAATTTTTACCAATGAAAAAGCTAACTCTTTTTGTTCGTAGTGGCCACAACTAATTGTAGTCGTACACGTATTAATGCCTTAAAAGTTGCAGCCATAAGAGAGAAACGTTGTACTTGTATCGACAATAATAGTTGTGTAAGAAAGATTAATGTGCACACAAACTCTTTTGTTTAAAAAATTAGAGGATTCTTACTCTTCAACCTTTAAAATGGTGAAAAGTGTTATAGTAGTAGACTAGATATGGTCCTTTTCATTTCAATTTGGTGTTTTCTTTACATGTAGTTCACTTATTGTTGTAGATGTATATGCATGCATTATTGATGACTAGAGGATAGGTCGATGTAGACGTTAGACTTGCATATTCTCATAGACAGCTTGGATTTTAGATAAATAATATGATCCACCAGCTCATCTCAAGTATAAGTAAATACTCGTATGATCTTTCCACCCTCTTCTATGATGTCATGTTTTGATTCTTATTTCAAGAGTTGAATACAAATTACTCCGTAGTTTTTTATGCTTTACTTTGGATTTTCTTGAGAAAAAAATTATTGTTAAGATCCTACTTGGCTTAAACTTTTTCATGTCATTTCGGATTGAGTTAGCAGGTAAAACCCTTAGGAGATGAAGTAAAATAGTAAGAGAATGACTTATAGATTTGATCCTACAACCTCATGACCATAAGTCTATAAGATATATGTAAACTTTCAATAGGCTAAGCTTATTTGGTGTACTAGGGTTGGAATTAATATAATTTAAAGTGAATGCATCTAATCATGTATGTCATATAAAAATTGATTGCAAATCATTTTACTAATTTAAGCCTTGTTTGATCTGATGTATTAGAGTTAGTATTGAATTAATTCAAAGTGAATGAATCTAATATATAAAATATAGGGAAATTCTACATTATAACCCTCTAGTTTTGCATTTTTTATGTTGTGCCCCATCTTTTTGAAAGTTACACGTTGTAACCCTCAGGTATAATTAGTAACCACACGGTGACCTTGCCGTTATCTCGCCATTAACAAATTCCGTTATATTGTTTTAATCACCGTTAGTGGAGCTCACTCTTTATTGATTAATATGTTTTTATCGATTTACATGATTGAAAATGTATCTTAAAAGTTTTGGGGGCCGTTTTGGCTCTTATGGGCCCAAATTGAGCTCAGATTTTGCAAAAAAAACAAAGTAAATGCCTCGTTTTGCGTATTAAAAAAGAAGTCCGATTTGCGTTTGAAACATCTCTTAATACGCAAAATGAGGCGTTTACGTTATTTTTTTGTCAAATTCTGAGCTCAATTTGGATCTAAAGGAACGAAATGTCCCCCAAAACCTATGACGAAATATTTTCTACCACTCAAATTGACAAAAAAAATATTAATTAGTGGAGAGTGGGCCCCATTAACGGTGAGTAAAACAACCTAATGGAATTTGTTAATGATGGGATAACGGCAAGGTCACTGTATGGTTACTAATTAAACCTGAGGGTTACAATGTGTAACTTTCAAAAAGATGGGACACTGCGTAAAAAACGCAAAATTAGAGGTTATAACGTAGAATTTCTCCAAAATATATATTGAATGCAAACAAACAAGTATGGTAGTGTTTCTTTTGAATAGGGGTCCTCAATTACATTTTGAGTCTTATTTTATGCCTATCATCTTTGAGTGTGTTATACTATAGGCATTCATCAATGACTTTACTAATAACTTTAAAGTTTGATGCTAACACTAGCATAATTTATAAATTGATAATGTCAACTTTTAGAAAATAATTGTTCACAAGATTTTTAGATGAGACATTATCCCATCCAATCAATACACATGCTTTTTCGACTAAAGTATGTATCATTGCCTCATTGATAAATGGACTCCCTTTAATTTACTTACGGAGTATATGAAAGAATGTAATGAGTTGCCTTTTCTCATTAGAATCATGTGATTATATACAATGTACAAAGAGTATAATTAGCCTAGAAACTAGCAACTGATTAGCTAAGAATATGGACAGAATATATATATGATAAACTCTTTAACAAATTAGGAGATATATACAAATATAGAATATATGTATCATATATTCTAACACACCCCAGCAATTGAAACGGGAGGTTTACAAATGCTAAGACTGGCTCGGAATTCTTCAAATAAAATACGAGGTAAGCAGTGGCGGGATCCAGGATTTTCGGTTAGGGGTAGCACCAACCATTAACTAACAAAACAAATTACTTGGTGGATTAACATTTTAAAAATTTATATCCAGTGATGAACTTTTTTTTGGGCACAAAAATATTATCCTTTGAATTACATTTACATTACGACTTTACGAATAGTTAATAAAATTTTAAAGTCATAAAATGAAAAGATATATTTTTTTTTTTAGTATATTGATAAAATAAAACCTTTAAAATAAGGGATTAAAAAACTATCAATCTGTTTTATTAAAAAAAAAAAAAAGAATTGCATAAAAATATAAGTTTGCAAAAAATATTGTCCTTTCAATTTACATTAGTTGATATAAATTCCTAGTTGTAAAATAGAAATATATATTTTAATATATTCAGCTCTCTTAAAATAGGGATTAAAACTCTCAATTTATGTCATAAATTTTTTTTGCATAAAAGTACATGTAGTAGGTCTCGAACCCATGATCTCCAAAAATAACAAAAGAGTTTAAAGTTAGTCCAATTTACCACTAAACCAACTATCATTTATATATTTTATTGAATAACATCAATTATATATACTTTGTTTATGTAGAAAAAAAAAAATCAGGGGTAGCACGTGCTACCCATTGAGCCATCGTAGGTCCGCCAGTGGAGGTAAGCCATTAGTAAAAATATATGTAATCTGATAATGGGAGGGAACATGTAGAACTCGTACCTCGCCTTTAGCGACCTTTTCCCTGACAAAATGAATATCCATCTTAATATGCTTGGTCCGCTGATGTTGTTTCAGATTTCCTGATAAATAAATGGCACTCACATTGTCACAATAAACCAGAGTAGCTTTATGAATGGGGCAATGGAGTTCAAGCAATAAATTTCGGATCCAACATGAATCGGAAACAACATAAGCTACTCCTCTATACTCGGTCTCAGCACTAGAACATGACAAAGTTGGTTGTCTTTTGGACGACCAAGATATTAAGTTGTCACCTAGATAAACACATAGCCGGAAGTAGAACGTCTACTACCCGGGCATCCTCCCCAATCAACATCAGTATAAGAAATGAGCTTATTGATAGAGGATTTATACAAGTGTAGACCATAAGACAAAGTACCTGTAAATAGCGTAGAATACGCTTAAGAGCACTCATATGCTAGTTCCTAGGCATGCATATGAAGACGATTCTGTTGAACTGCATAAGAAATGTCAGGTCTGGTAAAAGTAAGATATTGTAAGGCATCGGCCAAACTGCGGTATTTGGTGGGATCCTCACAAGGGGAATTCGCCGAAGCACTGAGTTTTGGTTTGGTGTTAATAGGAGTATGACAAGAGCTGCAATTAGCTATACCAGTTCTTTCAATGATCTTTGTAGCGTACTATTTATGAGACAAGAACATACCATTAGCATTGCGGGATACAACAATCCCCAAAATTAAAAGAAACTAATTTAAGAGGACCTAAGTCCTTCATAGCAAATTCGCCACCCAAAAGAGCCATAAAATGCTTTCTCAATCGATCTGATGAAGCTGTAAGGATAATATCATCAACATATAACAAAATATATGCCATATCCGAGCCATGTCTGTAAATAAACAATGAGTTATCAGATTTATTGTGAGAAAAACCAATAGTGGCTACAAAATCTGCAAAACGCTGATACCAGGCCCGCGGAGCCTGTTTGAGGCCATATAGAGATTTCTTTAGTAAACACACATGATTAGGGAGACTCTTGTTGCGAAAACCCATGGGCTGATGCATATAAACTGTCTTGTTGAGATAACCATGCAAGAAAGCATTCTTGACCTCTAACTAGTGAATAGGCCAAGATTTAGAGATAGCAATGCGAAGAATAGTACGAATAGTAGCTGGTTTGACAATCGGACTAAAATTCTCATCACCTACAAGACGGGCTTAATTTATGTCGCTCAGAAGAACCATCAGATTTCCGCTTATGACGAAAAATCCACATAGACCTGATTACATTCACATTCGGTGTCCTAGGTACCAATTCCCGTGTTCTATTAGCAATAAGAGCATTAAATTTTTCTAACATTGCATTTTTTCAATTTGGTTCACGAATAGCACTAACTGGATCTTTAGGTAAGGGAGATATAGTAGTGGTAGTCGTGGTGGCTAAATTAGAAAAA